ACATAAATGCTGGATATACACAGGACAGAAGCCCAAGCAATTACAAATATTGGTGCCAAAAAGTACAGGGATAGGAGTAAAGACTTAATGTTTTTACTAGTGATCTCTTGTTATCCATGGGGAACTGGTTTTAGGACTTATTTACTTGGTACAGGGTCTCACTATGCAGCTCATACTCATAGTGATCCTCCTGTCTCAGCTTCCCCAGTGCTGAGATTACAGGCATGTGCCACCATGCCCAGACTTGGAGGCTGGCTCAGCTTGGGGCTGGCAGGGCATGCAGCACCAGGGAGCAAACTCAGGTCCTTGCACTTGCTGGGCAGGCGCTTAAACCATGGAGCTATCTCCCCACCCTCGGGACCCTTGACAATAACAAAACCCAAGCAAGCTCAAGTCCCTTAAATAAAATGGTATAGTGTTGTATTTGCAAACAACAAATATCTATATCTAGCTAATATAGTGTGTTATCCCTAGATTATTATAATATCCACTTCAAAATAAATGCCATGGAAATGATTCTGGCTGTAATGTTTAGGGATTAATGACAAGAAAAAAGCTGGTACATTTTCAGTATAGTCACAATTTTTTTCAAACATATTCGACCCATATTTGGTTGAACCCACAGATAAGTAACCCCTAGGATATGGAAGACCAGCTATATGCAGAAGTATTTTTAAGTATAAAAGTAGAAAGTTCCTTAAAGTATACACACAGCAGGCATGGTGGTGGCCTGCCTGCAATCCCAGCCCTCTGTGAGGCTGAAGAGGATTCCACATCTGAGGCCAGGCTGGACAGTTAGCAAGATTCTTGTCTCAAAATAAAAAGTAAAAAATGGCTGGATGTAGCTCAGTGTGAAGGCCCTGGAGTTCAATCCCCAGCACTCCACCCCCACACCAAGGCTCTTCCACTGCTTTCCCCTACTGATTTCCTCTATCATCTCGCAGGAGAAGTGTTTGCAGGAGACACCGGGACACCCACCCATCTGCTAATTCCCGTTTTTAAGCTGTATCCTACTGTTCTTCTCCCCTTTATTAGCTGTGATCCTCAAGGCCTTCAATCCTTCACCAAAGTCTCTTTTGCTAAAGGCCATCAACATGCTGAACTCTACACACTCCCTCCAGGTCCTACTCTGCAGTGAGCAAGATTTGAAGTGAGAGTGATAACTGTGTGTGTTACTGGGGAATGAACCCAAGGTCTTTGCACTGATGTATATCGTTAGTTTTCTGAGACAGGGTCTTGCTAAGTAGTGAAATTGCTCAGGCTGGGCTCAAATTTGTGAGCCCCCTCGGTCAGCCTCTAAGGGTTCCGGAATTACAGGCAACTGCCACCTAATGAGAGCAGAACTTTCTGAAGCGTTTGCAATCCTAGGCTAAGTCTGCCAGTTCCCCTAGGAAATCCTGTGGCTACAAGTAGTTGAGTCATTTTCTTATTTTGCATATAGTTTGACTACAATCAAGTGCCTAAAAAACTTTGTAGCAAAAAGAATGGCAAGGCTTCCCTCCAGCAGAATGCTGTATTTTCTTTCTCATTCTCTCCAACATTCTCGATTGTCCTTCTCAGTGCACTGCTTTTAACACGCGCACTTGGCCTACGGTCCATCCTGGACTGTCTATGGGTGGTACACATAAGTCTTAATTCCAGGAATGATTCTGTCATCCCTGGTTCATCCTGCCCAGTAAAACCAACCCCAACTCTACGCTCCCAAACGTGGGTCCCCGAGGCCTATTTCCCCAGCGAGAACGCCAAAGTACCGGAAGTACAGATAAGGTTGGCCTTCCCGCCGGATCTGTCGGAGACGGCAGAAATGTGGAACACGGTCCAGAAAGATTCCTCCTCAAGATTCCTAAGGCAGACGTTAGCGTGCGACGCCTGAGAACAGGCACCGTAAGAGCAGCACGGGTTCGGCCGATAGCCCAAATGGGGCGGGCCAGAGCCACATGGCCGTGGGGCTAGCTAGCTCTAGGCTCCCGGGTTCGGATCCCTCTCCCGCCACTCACCCCAGAGTTACACCCCACGTCGAGCCCCAAAATCGGCCTCGTCTCAGGACCATCGGGAGGGAAGAGCTGTCGAAGCAGCTCGGGGGGCAGGAGGCGGAGCCGTTGTTCCGGAGGGTAGAAGTGGGAATAAGAAGGGAAATTTCCGAACGGGGCAGCCCCGGGTTCCAGCACTCGCCGTTCCTCCTCCGCCTCGGCCGCTTTATCGCCCCCTCCTGCCGGCTTCCCCCGCGCCGCCATTAGCCCGAGTCCCAGCGGAAGCGGAAGCGGAGGCGGAAGCGGAGGCGGAAGCGGAGGCGGAAGCTGGGCGGCCGCGCGCCTGCGCCGAGTGGCGGGGCGGTCGCGGGCTGCGGCGCGGGGCGCGAGCGGGGTGTCCTCTGTCTGTGCAGTCTCGGTGTGACGGGCCCCCTGGACCTCTGTCTGCTTGTACCCTGAGGAGCTGGTTAGGATCTTGGAAGCTGATTTAGGTCTCACCCTGACCCAAGTGCTTGAAATGCAATCCGGAGGAGAGAGGGAGTTTGTGGTCATACACTGAATCAGTGACCCAGGAGCTTGCCCCGGGTTCAAGGGTAGGCGGGAGCCGCGGATCATCTGTGCTGAGATGGACAGGTGGACAATGGCAGTTGCAGACTGTTCTTTTTTTTTTTAAATTTTATTTACTTATTTATGTGTGTGTGTGTCCAGGGGCGGGGCTGGCTGGCATGTGGTGCTGGGGGATTGAACCGCGGTTCCTGCGTTTTGCTAAGCTTGTTTCAAGTAGGTGCTTTAGACCACTGAGCCATCTCACCAGCCCCTGCAGACTGTTCTTGAGAGGAGGGCTTATGCCGTAAGAGCCTGCGCTCGAAGAGTGCTTATAGGCACCCTTGTAAAGCCCTTTATATGTATTAATTAATCATCCCACCAACCTGGTAAGGAGCGGACCATAATTAAGATTCTTTTTATATAATTGAATTTGTTGGGGACACAGCAAAGTTACCCAAAGTGGCACAGAACAGGGATGATAGTATTAGGATCTGGACGCAGGTAGTTCAGCTCCAGACAGTGTTGGCAACGTTCTTACTTTCAGCCTATAATTTTCTGTGGTTACCCTAATGTTGGGCATAAAGATGCTCAACAAATATTCATTGTATGAAAATAGAGGATGCTCATCGCTATTTGCAGGTCTGCTTGGGAAAAATGAAAATGAAAAGGAGATACCAAGCCAAAAGAAACACGGTGGAATGGAAGTATGAAAGATGTTCGCTGAACCAGAGATATTAAAAGACAAAAAAACTGGTAAGGAGAGGAATTGAGGAGTCAGCTTAGGCAGCACATTCAAGTTAGAAATCAACATGCCCTGTCACCTCCAACAGGGTCAGCGAGTCATGCTGACCTATCCCCATGTGACCAGCTTATCTTACAGGGTCTTTTTGCTGCATAAGACAAGCGATTTGCTGAAGGAATAAAAGACTAAAGCATGACACTGAAGACTGGCTATCAGGGGTTAAATATTAGGCCCCTCCCAACCTGAAGAGAAAAAACTTGGGACAGACCAGTCTGTTCAAACAGGAAAGGGGCTGAGGAGATAACTCAGTAGAATAAGCACTTGCTTGAGGGCCTGAGTTTAATCCCCGGTTCTGCCAAAACAAAAAAACTCAACCTGAGAAACAAAATAAGTCTGTTTATCAGGATGGCTCCCAGGCCTGGTTCTCAGGCTTAAAGGACACCCTGTAAATCTACAGAATGACACGATGTCAATCAGCAGAATACCACTGTCATCCTGTATTTCCCTTCCCCCAAAGAGGCGCCAGGCCTATCAATGACCCCTGAGAAACTTAAAACTTTTTATCTTCCCATACCTATGCTAGTGTATAAAGCTGGCTTTCTTCCTTTGTTCATAGTCAACAGCCTTCTCGCCCTTGACCAGGTTGCACGCGGCCTGAAAGAAAGATATCAGTGCTTCAACCATGCCTGTCCTAGTGATCTTGGTTGCTTCCTGGGGTCTAGCCTGACACTATCTCTTGCAATTTTTACCTGTATGTACTTTCATGTCTCTTTGATCTGCTGTTTTACTGTTTTTGTGTAAGATTCAAGGACATAAGTCAATGACTAAAGGTCATAGTGGATTAAATAAACCATAGTATTCTGCACAACTTCCAGAAAAGGAGAGCAGTTCTTTCACGTTCCAGTTTTTGAAAGGATTTTTGTGAGCTGAATTTATTCTTTTTTGTCACTAGATGGCCCTAACACAAACATTTGATTGCCCTCAGTTTTCTTTCTTTTTTTGCCGAACTGGGATTGCACTCAGGCCCTTGCTCTTGCCAGGGAAGCGTTTCTTCCACTGAGCCATCTCCCCAGCCCCTTGCCCTCAGTTTTCAAAGAGCTAAAATCACTTTCTAAACACTTTTTGTTTAAGCAAGCACTTTCTCTCCCTCCTTCCTTCCTTCCCCTCTTTTCTCCTTTTTTTGACACAGGGTCTTGTTATGTAGTTCAGGATGGCCTTACACTCACTATGTAGCCCAGACTAGCCTCCAGGTTATGAAGATCCTTCTGCCTCTGCCTCTGGAGTATTTTCAGGAGTGTGCCATCATGCCTGGTTATTGTTGTTTTTTCTTTTTTTGTGATTCTGGGAATTGAATCCAGGGCCTTTACTCTGAGCTGTATCCCTCCTTTCTTTTCTCTTTTATTTTGAGACAGAATCTTGCTAAAATTGCTTGAACTTGCAATCTTCTTGCCACAGCCCCCAGAGATGCTGAGATTGCAGACATGTACCACTGTGCTTGGATTTTTAAAAATATTTAATTTAATTTTACTTTGAAAAGTAAAACAATACAAAACAAATAATAGAAACAGAAACAGGGTAACACACAACAGCACGTATGTTAGAGATTTTCAGAATGAGAATAGCTAATTAGCAATGGTTTTTATATTATCCATTCCCATTATCAATTCTGTTGTGGATTTTTTTTTTTTAATGTCATTAAGGAGTTTTTATTTCATTAAGGACATGGGCATGATTTGAATTCTCAAAACAGTTCATCAGAAGAAAGATAGGTGTGTCACAATTCCAAATGGTGATGATTTAGGGGAACAAAACTCCCAGCCTGAAAGATACCTGGGCAGAGTTCGTGTTCGCTAAAACCTAAGAATGAATTTTAGAAACAAAGAATGAATTTAAGAGCAGAATATATTTATTGGGGGGAAAGAAAGCTCTTATCTGAGAGAACGACAGAAAGGGGACCCTAGTGGTTGCCTATAAAATTCCTCTTCCAGGGAACTTAGAGTAAAGCCAGGTGGTGAGGTGGTTCCAAGGTGTAAAACATGGGAACTAGCTTGGTGGGCATGAAGTGGGACAGAATTGATCAACCAATAAGATTACAAGCACAATTGCTCAAGTAAAATTTATTAAATCTAGGACCAAATAAATAAATAAATAAATCCAGGACCGAATGGGAAGATGAGTCACTTTGTAAGCAGGCATGAATATAGAACTGGGTCTCTATGTAGGGTGCTGGGTTAGTGACTCTTTCAGGCATCCTCAAAATGAGAGACCTATTTAGAATATCAATCCCTGATGTCTATCCTTAGGGAGGTATGTATTTGTTTGATCTTTTGTCTTGCGGTCTGGCCCACAGCAGGGGTATCTGTTTCTCCCCAAGTTGCAAAGCCATCTTGTCTTCCATATTGTCTCCATGAGGGCCTAGCTCTGTCTGACTACCTATAATATTTCTGTCTAACTCAGCTGCCTGCAACAATGGCATTAACATATTTGTCCTGATTGTTGGGGGTTCCTCCTGACGAACAGATTGGTATAGGACTGGTAATGTTGCTGGCAATCTCAAATGCCTCAGAAGTGACAGATAAAGAGGTGATTTTCTAATCTGTACCCATTCATTTCACAGATCCTTCTCAGCCCTGGTGACCTGATACTATTTAGCTTCTGGGCCTAGGGTCTGAGTAACCAGCAGCACACCTCAGACAGCTGTAAGACCTTGCTCTGCACTTCAGACTGCCAGGTTTTGTAGAACCTAATCCTTGGGCAATTCTCATGGTGAGGGGGCTGAGAAAGGAGTATCTTCAAACACACAAATTACAAATATAAAATTAGATGTGAAAGAAAATATTTATGATGACAAATCACAAAAAATTACAAATTTCAAAATGGGACATGGGGGGAGGTGGTGAGATAACTCAGCAGTCTAAAGTGCCTGCTTAGGCAAGTTTAGGCAAAGCAAAGGGATGGGGGTTCTATCCCTAGCACCATTATGCTGTGCCAGCCCCACCCTCAGAGCAGGCTGAGCCTACCACCAAAAAACAAAATAAAACAAAACAAAAATTGGACATGGATCAAAGCATCAGAAAAAGTTCTGACAATACGGTGGTTTTGTAGCAGACAATCTCTGCCCCCTCCCCAGTATACTTCAGTTGCCCAGGTAATAGTTCCTATTACAGGGTTTTTTTTTTTTTTTTTTTTTTTTTTTTCTTTCGGTACCAGGGATTGAACTCAGGCCCTTGCGCTTGCCAGGGAAGCACTTATTTCACTGAACCATCTCCCAGGGCCCCAAATCAGAATTTTAAAATTGTACTTTTAGGAAAAACTACAGTTTTTTTCTCTCTGTCTTTCTCTCTTTTTTGTTTTTGTTTTTTTTGCAGCACCAGGGTTTGAACTCAGGACCCTGCGCCTGCCAGGCGGGTGCTTATTCTACTGAGCTATTCAGTTTTTAAAAAAAATTTATTTGTGTGTGTGTGTGTTTGTGTGTGGCCCGCTCAGCCCACCAGGGGGTGGGGCTGGCTGGCATGTGGTGCTGGGGGATTGAACCGCGTTCCCAGTGCTTTGCTAAGTTTGTTCTAAGTAGGTGCTTTAGACCAAGTAGGTGCTTTAGACCACTGAGCCATCTCACCAGCCTGAGCTATTCAGTTTTAAAACATAAAAGTTACTCATCTTTTTTTCCTTCCAAGAAATTCACTCATAAAGAAAATTCCTGTGTCAGGGATATAGCTCAGCAATGTAGCACCTGCCTGGCAAGCTCAAGGTCTTGGTTAACACACACACACACACACACACACACACACACACACACACCATTCTCAAGCTCCTAAAGATACAGATCAGCCTGGAAATTGGTTTCTGGGCCTGTGCTTTTCACCTGTGAAGTATACTTTCTCCTATAGAATTGTATTTTCAAGGAGGTAGCAATATTAATGGGTACCCTACCCCAACATCGAACATATCTGAATGGTTTCTGTTCCAGCACAGTCCACCAAATGGGAGGAGGATACACATTCCAGATCAGGAGTCTTGAAGAGACCTCCACGATCCCATAAAAATATCCAGTGCCAGATTTTAAGGTATAACTCTCTCATGAAAGCCAGCATTCTGTTTCTTTCAATGTGAACCTTTAACTTTCTCTAATAAATCCCATTTTGCCTCTTACTGATGTGTCTTGAAAATTCTTTTCCCTCAGTAAAAGTCAGCAAACCTGTGACGTAATTCTACCAGTAGGGTGGGCTTAGCCCCTGTCTAGTGACAGAAATTATATGATGCCAAATGGAAAGCATCCTGTTTTTGTTTTTTTTCCAGACAGGGTCTTGCTATGTATTCTGGCCTGGCCTTGAACTTATGATTCTCCTGCCTCAACCTTTCTAGTGCTGGGATTACAGGCCTGAGCCTCCACACTCAACTTAATCTCTCTCTCTCTCTCTCTCTCTCTCTCTCTCTCTCTCTCTCTCTCTCTCTCTCTCGGTTGGATATCTCACTATCTAGTTCAGCCTTGCCTTAAACTATATAGTCCGGCCTGGCCTTGTATATCTTTGGGCTCACAGCATTGATATCCCTGA